AGCGGGATTGGCCTAGGGAATTTTAGTGGGGTTTTTAAGGGAAATTTTAATTATTAGGCCATTGCAAATATTTCCTTTTAATCTGGTTTTAAATTGGTATTTACTGTAATATTGGTTTTATAAGGCTGTCAGCCGCCCTGAGTCCGGTAAGGAGAAGGGCGGGATACAAATCAAATAAATAAATAAATAAATAAATAAACTATACTATAGTTTGTGAAGGAATATGTTTGGCATATATAAAAACCAATGTATTACTTAGGAGACCCTAATCTCAAACATTATTTGTTCCACAATAAAGTCAGGTGTGGAAAGATCTTGCTGTTCTCCTCTCAAATAAAGTTTGGGGATTAAGAAGTAAGTTTATCTTATGCAACTTGCTTGAGATGGCCAAAATTTTGTAGTTAGAATGAAGCTATTTGGTGATAAATGCTTACCTACAAGTGTTGCTATTTCAAGTAAATTATATCTGTGATAAGCCTGAATATAGTGCAATCATACATCCTAGGACTGTAATCATACTTCTGGGCAATTTCAACACTAGAATAAGTGCCTCAATTAATCACTTCAATTGCCATTGCTATACAGATTATGTTGCCATCGTTGGTCTAAGGGTATCAGTTTTCACAGGTAGTAATTAACTCATTTTTCTAAAAAGCTTGATCAAATTCTATACATGAAGTGGTTGATAGGAATCAGAATGGGGACTAAAGAGCCAGAGTAAGTATTACTGCATTGGTTATGTTGTGGTCTGAAATAACTTGATAAGTAAGGTCACCTTTCTTAGTGATCACATTGTTTTGATAGCTACCTCTCTCACTCACTCACACACACACATGTAACTGTGGTTTAATGCAAGGCCCCAACCTTTCTGTGTTGGCGAACAAGTAGGAAAGGGAGGAGCAGGCACCTTTATGCACGCATGCGCACGCATGCTAATGTGGCTGTGCACATGTGCACGCAAACGGGGCTGCGAGCATGCATGCTAGTGCCGGCTCACAGCTAGTGCCGGCATGAGACTCGTGGCTTGGCTAGCGCCAGTGCGTAGGTCATGGCTTGGCTAGCTCCAGTGTTAGGCTCACAGCTCGGCTACAACCGGAATGAAGCTCGCAGCTTGGCTAGCGCCAGCACAAGAAAGGGTGAGCACACGCACATGCACTGGCCAGCCACTCATGCGGCCCGGTGGCCAAGAGGCCATGGCCCAGAAGTGGGCTACAGCCCATAGGTTGGCGACCTCTAGTTTATGAATTTATTAACATTCCCCAGCAATTCCTTTCACCAAACCCCCCAGAACTGTCCCAATAAAGTCCAGCCATGAGCAGACCAATGTTAATCTACAGAGCAATGGCCAAAGAGTCCACAAAACCCTTGAAAGTTTCTCAAACAAAATAAATCCACCAGGCAAACTTAAATCCAAAACACAATAGAGCTCAGGAGTCAAGAAAAATCCAGAGTTTCCAAGGCACAATTCAGGTCAAGGCACGGTGTCAATCCAAAACTAGGCAGTAATCACAATAACCAGAAAACAGAAGTCAAGGCATGGTGTCAATCCAAAGCTAGGCAGGAATCACAACAACCAGAAAACACATAGCTAGGAAACAAACACTTTGTTCCCAGCAACACCTCCCTCTGTCTGCTGTGCTAAATATCCAGCTTCTGATGCAGCCCATCAAGAAGGGTGAGGCTTTTTCTTCTCGAGTAGTCTGGCTGACCTTCTCTGCTCCTGCCTTTTTTCTGCCCTACATGTTCTTGGATCAGATGCAGAAGGCAGCTGTTCCTCCTCCTCACTAATCATCTGCAACTGCATGCTTTCCCCAACTGGAGTGTCAGCCAAATCCCTTCCAGACGGCTGCTTGGAGCCATCAATTAACTCAGCTCCTGACATGCCAAGAACCGGTTCATCCTCCCACAAGCTAACGTCTAGAGAGGTATCTGTGGAATCATCCATGGGAGTCATCACAATAGCATGTTTTTCCACCACAAAATAGTTATTGTATCCTAACAATTTTTTTTTCTGCATTGCAAGGTCAGTGTAAGAATTTTCTTTACTATATTATCAGAATTAACTTTATATCTAATTATAGTGGCTTGTCCCCAGTACAGGTAATCCTCATTTAATTACAGTAATTGGGGACCTGAATTTCTGTTGCTAGCAGTGTGGTCATAAAGTGTGATGTCACATAACAGCATCACTTAGTGATGGCAATCCTCACAATTCCTGTTGCTTTGCTAAGTGAGGATCATGGGTTGTTAAGTGGAGACCACCTTGGAACTTCCTACTGGTTTCCAACAAGCAAGGTCAACGGGGAAGCCAGCAGAAAATCACAAGTTCCAGGAGGCTCACCAGCAGGGTGGCGAGCAGGTAAGTGCCTGTTGTGGTGAACAGGGATGGCTGCTACTGGGTGGGGGAAGGTATGTAATCTGGTTGTCAAGCATCACAATCACAATCACATGACCTTAGTGGTGATGGTATGGTCAGAACTTTGAGGACCCATCATAAATACCACTCATTCAGTGCCATTGCAACTTTGAGTGGTCGTTCATTAAATGAATGTGGATAAGAACAGTCATGAGAAGGTATACACATATATCAAGAATCAATTGTTAATATCCAGCCTATGATAGTGTTTCATTCTCCAAAGCAGTATCAATAGGACTATTGTAAAAGCTAACTTATGATTATGTCAGGATCAAAGCCAATTTAATTATATTAAGCCTGAGAAATATATCTGTATCTGCATATGTGTGTGTATAAAACAAAGTAGGAAACACAATAATATAGTTGGCAGTGATTAATTCAAATCATTAAAAAAGCAAAGCTCTGTGGCTTTCTGGCAATTTATAGCTGAATCCTTTGAGGGCTACCCTATGGCTAACCCCTAAAAGCTACCTATTATAGAGGAAACACTCCCACTATCTGTCTGGAAAAAGCATTTATTGAACTATTTTTTGGTGATGACTCAGCTAATATATTGATCTTTGAATTAAGTCAAGAATGTATTCATGGCCAGCCACTAATATCCTCCTTTGACATTTCTAAATTAATCTTGCAATTGAAAAATGGAAAGGCCACCTGGGAATATATGATTCTACTGGACTACTGAAAATTAACATTGATTGGTAAGCCCCAACTTTGGTGACCTTATTCACTTTTCTAGACTGCTTCTTTCAGATCCCCGAGGACTCGGCTGATCTATTATTGCAACTATTTTTTTAAAAAAAAACCCAGAATGGATTTAATCCAATCAATGATCATTCGATCAATTTACAAAGTACGATCAGTAAATTACAGTTACATTGTTTGCATTAGAAACTATTAGATGAACTAATTCAGGAAAATATTTTGTCAAAGGAGCAAGTAGGGTTCAAATGGATCAGTTTTAGACTAACATAGTAAAGTGAAATAAATTAATAGCTCCCTATCCTTCCAGGAAACTTAGTGCTTAATTTTGGATCTTAAATCAGGGTTTGATTTGATTCCTAGTGAAAAGCTCTGGAAGAATTTAACACTCTTCTCTATGGCCTGCTGATTATTACTTCTAATAAAAAAAATCAGGATGATAACTGGATGCAGGTCCGAAATAATGGCCAACAAATATGAATATCTAGAGCAAGTTAAATCTTTTAAATATGCTGAGGCTACTTTTCAATTCTCTTGTGTTGGAAGAAACCCACAAGATTAATCTCTGATATCATCCAGTGCAATATTTTAAGTTTCTTTTTAAATCAAGCTATGTTGTAAATTCACAAAATTGACATTTGCTTCCCCAGCATGAAAGAGAGGGCATACACAAAATTCCCAAGAACCTTCCAGAAGGAGACATGCTATTGCTCACATCGGCAGGAAGAGATTCCCTCAGCTGCTGTGTTCTTCAGCTGAAGAAATGCTTTGCCTTTTAAAAATCTGAATTAAGACACTAAGAGAAAAGGAACAAGGTGTAATGTGAAGGAGAAAAAGAGAGCCAAGATGCTTCTGCAGATTTAATTCTAAGCTGGAATTGGTCCAATAAGTATTTGCTGGTACTGTACTTGAAAAAAAGTATTTTCCAGGAAGAAAATTGGTACAGGAATAACCTCTGTCCTCATATCAATCTATTCACTATATAAGGAAAAATAAACTAAATTTGAATTTTGTTTTATCTACAGCTATTATGACTATTAAATTATGGTCAGATTATGACCATTCATTTAATGATTGTTCAAAGCACTGAAAAAAAGATCTTATACTGACGTACTGTTGTAGTACCCGTGGTCACATGATCAAAATTCAAGCACTTGGTGACCAGCATGTATTTATGACAACTGCAGCATCCTGGAGTCATCTGATCGCCATTTGTGACTTTTCCAGGGGGCTTCAAACAAGCAAAGTTTCAATAGGGGAAACTGACCCTGCTCAACAACTCTGTGAATTAACAACTTGCTTAATGACAGCATGATTTCCTTAAGGACTGCAGCAAAATAGGTAATAAAATCAGTTGTGATGCGCTTAATGACTCCATCATTTAGCAACAGAAGTTCCGGTTCCAATTGTCATAAGTCGAGGACTATTTGCATTGTATTGTACTCTATACACAGCTATCTCGTTATTTGTTTTCTGTAAATGTTCAATAAGCTGTATGTTTCATGCAACCTGGAGTCTCTTTAAAAATTCCACATTAAAATGATAAAGAATAAAAAAAGAACTTCTTTCATTTCACATAGATATTCCATAAATTTAGTTTTTATCCTTCGTTTCACATACAATTGGCTTACAGAACAACCCTATACAATACATGTTTATTCCCACTATTTTCAAAGCGGTTTATTTCTAGTTGATAAACTATAGCTGCAGGAAACTTACTACTTAAAAAGGGAACAGCTAGTCAGTCACTGCAAGCCAGTTTGAAAACTGCTAGGAGCACCATGAACCGAGAAATTTCTGTAGGATTGTCTTAGATGCATAAAAGACAACCTGTATCAAGAACCATGGTGCAGTGGTTAGAATGCAGTATTGCAGTCTAATTCTGCCAACTGCCAGCAGTTCGATTCTTATCGGCTCAAGGTTGACTCAGTCTTCCATCCTTCCAAGGTCAGTAAAGTGAGGACCCAGATTGTTGGGGGCAATACAGTATGCTGACTCTGTAAACCGCTTAGAGAGAGCTGTAAAGCACTGTGAAGGGTATATAAGTCTAAGTGCTATTGCTATTGCTATTTTGAAATAGCTTCTGGTCCTACAGAGCGATGACTGTCATAAACAATCAAAATGAGTATATATACTGAGTATATATTCAATATAAATGTTTCTAAACAAATACTTCTGGGGACAGATATTCCAATTCCAATCTCTTCAAACTTACAGAAATATTCTATTGGCATGCAATATAATCTAAGGGGCTCTGGAGGAATGAAAAATGTAGCATGAGCTGAGATGTTCCACCATAAAAAACAACAACCCAAACATAAATTTATCAGTGGGCAGAAAGGATATTGAAATGTTTCACATTGACTAAAAAGTAATGAATACAAACCTGAGATGGTAGAGATTTGACAGACTTTTGCTTTCAACAACATCATGAGCAATGATTTCAGCCAAGTGAAAAAGTGGAAGAGTCATATGAGTACATAACATTGACTGTAGTTCCTTAAATAAACGGTCTAAGTAATACAAGGTGCGTGTCTAAAATTAAAAGAATACATGACAAACAAGTTTACTATGATGACAATACTTGTCTCTCGTGTACATTTTCAATTCTTCAAAAAAGCCCTCTGAAATAAATCTCCCATCGCTAATACGGACAGTAGTTATCCTGTGCCTATATTTTTATTCTTTTTTTATTCCCCTTGCTGAACAGATTGATTGGAGAGAAAGGGATTGCAAGAAAGTAAACTGTTTGCTCTTCTATACATCAATAGCAATGCAATCACACTAGCTGCCCTGGGGCTGACAGCTGGGTACTCTACTCAAACAATTTACAGTACTCTTTTGAAATCTCTTTCTCTTCGATCTCTCTGCTCTATGAGGAAAGGCATGAAGGAGTCAGGCAAAGGAGACATTGCCTATAGAAATTGCTTCCCCCTTCCAGAGAGTGGAGAGATTGGAAAGGAAGAGATTTCAAGTGAGTACCATAAGCTGTTTATAAAGAATGCCTGGCTTACAGTCCCTTGACTACCAGCACAATTGCATTGTTTTCAATGTGTACAAAACAGCAATCAGGCTTTCAAGCCTTCCAAAGAGCATGGGCACAGTTAGGAGGCAAGCAAAAAGCTAAAAATTATTAGTCTTATTTCTGTTCAACCTAAAAGGAGTCATGGTCAAGTGATTCCTACTTAATGAATGCTTTACTTAGTGATGTAGTTATTAGTTCTAATTAGGGTTGTTAAGAACTGTACAAGGACTACCTGTAATTTCAATATGTAATAATAATGAAGAAAAGAAGCCAGAAACAAGTCACAGCTGGAAGTAAAAAAGTGAGAGGAATAGATAATTTCAATTATGGTCTATTCAAGACATTACTCACAGGTGCTAAAATGGTTTCTCTGTTCACAGTACAGCCACTTGAGTCCTGTTTAAAGGCTTCTCTCATCTCATCAGGACACTCATAGTTAGCCCATTCCTCCACATTTCCAGGCAAGACATCAATTGGCCCCTTCCTTTTCACCTTCTCTTTACTGGCTGAGTGTATCTGAAAATTGGACTATTTATTTTTAATAAAGTTTCCTTTTTGTTAACATAAATGAAATCAAAATACATGCACTAAAGGAAATGTACCTTTTTTGCATCTTTTGGGGATTTCTCTTTATCTTTTTTAGGAGGGCTTGTAGGTGAACCCTGAGTAGGATCAGGCTTTAGGGGAAAAAAAGAAATAATGATCGATATTTCTGTAATAATACATTCAGTCCTAATATTTTTTTCCCTTCAAACAGATCTCAGATCTTCTCATGGGTTTAGTCTTGGACTTCCAAGCAGAAATAATAATTAAAAAAACACTATAATATTTCAGATATGTGAAAATGACGTTGTTCACTGTCTTGTTTCTTCAACAGATAGACTCCAAATTTGGGAACAAATTTGGGAAGGAGATAACATTTTATCATTCAGTCTAATTATAATAAGGAAGGAAAGAGCCACTGTTTATTTATTAAATTTCTATGCCACCCATCCCTCTGCCAATACTTACAATATTATGAATAGCAACAAAATAAGGAATTATAAAACAATTATTGTATGCACCACAAATTAAAATATGCTTAAAAACAGCAGGAAAGTGACAATCAGTTATCAGTTTAATTTTAGACAGATGTGTCTACACAAATAAGATTCTGTGAATGCATCCCTCTCACCTTGTCTTATAAATAATCACTGCTACAGAAATTGTGATCATTACACTCATGAATGTTTTGACAATTTAAAGATATGTGGCAGTATTTGTGTGATGTATATATTTGTTTCCAAGTAAAAAGCATTCATTTCCCTACTAATATATTCTCAGATAGAAAGGTAGTAACAGAGGTGTCAAGGTTTAGCCTCTCTAGATATTATTACATTATCACCCTTATGGTCCTGAGCACCCCCTCTGCTAATTGATGTTGATACATGCTGGTAGACCAACAAATCTGAAAATCCAGATGTTCTCTATCCATGGATTAGAAGTATTAACAGTACCCTTACTTAATAAAGTAACATTGATGGAACATGGCAGTATTTTTAACAAGCCATATGCTTCATGATGTCATCACAACCGTAACATAATTATGAAATTGTGTCATATCTGTTTGCTATGTCATTGACATTATGGCAGGGGTGTCAAACTGCCGGCCCGCTCTGCGCACAGTCACTCATGCTCTCGTCACCTCCCGCCTGGACTACTGTAATGCTCTATACATGGGGCTCCCTGTGAGGAGCATCCGGAGGCTTCAACTGGTCCAGAATGCGGCCGCGCGGGCGGTGTTGGGAGGGACTCGTCGCTCCCACGTAACACCGCTGCTGCGCGAGCTGCACTGGTTACCAGTGGCCTTCNGAGATCCGGACGATTCCGGATCTCCTATCTTTTCACCGCGCCCTCAAGACATGGCTTTTTCAGCAAGCGGGTCTGGCCTAGGGAGAATTTTAAATAGGGACAATTTTAATTAGAATTTTAATTAACACAGCGGTTAAATATTTGTTTTTAATTGGTTTTTATTGGGGATAGTGTTTGTATTGTTTTAATATGCTGTAAGCCGCCCTGAGTCCTGTTGGGAGAAGGGCGGCATATAAGTTTAATAATAAAAAAATAAAATAAAATAAAATACCGGAGCCGCGCCCACCCCATTGCCGGCAACAGTGAAAAAGCTCCGATACGTCATGCGATGTCACGTGACGTTGCGAGTTTGACATGTCTGCATTATGGCATATGTGTGATTGTTCCCCCCCCCCAATGATGGGAGGAAATGTTTGGATATGAAGACGTCAGCTTTTGAGTGCCTTACCTTTTTTGCATCTTTTTTATCTTTTGACTTTGGAGTTGTTGATTGGGCTGGTGAAACTTTGGTCTTTAAAAGCAATCCTGCTGTTGTGAATGACATCTGAAAAATAATTACACTTGCTTTTGGGAAGAAAAAAAATCCAAGAAGTACAATTCTTAATTCAATTAAATGTTGAATTTCTGTTATGACAAATAAAACATAATATTACTAAAAATAAAGTCTTTTTTTACAGATTGCCTTTATTTTCTGTACAAAAAAGTTTCTATACATAAAAGTTAATGTCATGTATCATAATATAAGCTAGCTTAATAAAATTCCTAGAAAAGTAAACTTCTTTTTTAAAAACTTAATTGAGCCAACAAATAGTCTGATCTACTTTGTATCCCTAAATTTTTACTACTTTTAAGGGGCAACTTTTGAAAAAAAAAATCTTTTCTTAAAATGGTGGGGGAACATTGGTTTCTATGAAGAGCAGAGCATCAAAAAATACATTGGCTAAAAAACCTGTAAACTATGACTGTTTTACTTTCTTGGTTGGGATGTGCCAATAAGGCTTGTAAAGTAATAAGTGATCTACCACTTTCCTGCTAATATATATTGTTACATTTGTGCTGATTTATTCATTTTGATATATTCCAATTCAGGTTGCACTTTTTTCTATAAAACATGCTTAGACAGAGATTCTGAAAGCTTCATTGCCTTAACCTTGACAAGATGCCTGATTCACTGTAAATAGTTTTGTGTGGAATATAATTGAACTTATAAAAATATCAAAGAAATAGATTAATTTTGTTTCCAATTAAATGTTGTTATACTATCAGCACACAGCAGAAAATGAGATACATTTCTGTTCAGACTAATAGCATTACAGATTCTATAATTCTATACAAGGGGGAATTTCTTTTGAACAAGTTTTTGGAACAAACTTGACATTCAAGTGTATCAAGAAATCACTTGCATATAACTTATCTTCATTAAAAGCTACAATAATTCTTTTTGGAAGATCAACGTGATTGCGGTAAGTGCTTTGAATTCAAGCCATTGCTCATTAAAAAAAAACCTAATAGACTTGTACTATGCATTTAGCAGCCTTCTAGTTACCATGTTCTTATCTCACCTGCCACATGCGAATCACAAAAGCATACGCCATCAAACAGTATTGCTCATAAAAAGTTGAACCATGGCCAGAAATGACTGCCATTATTGTATAAGCTCTAAATAAAGCTTCTAACTGTTTTATGCTTCTTAATTCTCCAATACTAATTTGGTTTCTTAATTCTACAAAGAAAATATGAAGAATCAGTCAATATTGTTGAAAATGTTTTATATAACAATATAAACACATTGTTTACATTTTATGTAACAGACATGTTTTGTATAACTCGTAAGTTCCATGTGTAGCTGAATAATAGCTCCTGGATAGTCCCCAAAGTCTCAAGCATTAATTTTATCTTCCTCACACTTAATTTAAAAAATCATTAAGGCATAAAACAATATTTGGTTTAAATGAAAAAGAGGAAAATATCATCTGTAGAAGACCACAGGAAAAAATCTAAATGTTTTTTAATGTCAAAGGAAAAAAAATATTATATCACACTACACCCCCAATGCTAAAATAAACACAGCTATTTTTGGAACATAACTAGAAAAACGTACCTTCTTCCTCAGGGCTTTTTTGGAGAGGTCTGAGATACAATAACATATTTATTGCCCATTCCAGGTGTTTAATAGCCTCACTAAGAGGAAACTGCTTGCAATACAGCCATTCTGCAAATCCTAAGATATTATCCACTTTCTTTAATTCAGATTCCTTTTTCTACATAAAAACAATGAGCACATATTTAGACTAGTGCTTGATACACATTCCCATTCAGAGGAAAACAAGGTAATATAAATATACAAAAGCCTACATTGCTTTTAGGAAAGTACAATTTCAGATCAGAGAGTCTAGCCTAACCGTCTGCAGATTATTGGTTGCTCTAAGGAAATACTGGGGAAAAAGGAGGCATTTTCTACACCTGTCAGGACCAAAAGCCTTGATTAAGTTATGTAGCAACAGGGGTATAAGCCTAACTTTGATATATCTCTAGAAGACACATCCATTTTTTTTCAATTCAGAGATAGTACTAGGAATTTGGAGGAAGGGAAAACTATGAATGACATGATAAATACCAAAAGCAACATTTCAAAATTGAAATTTACATCATTCACTTGAACTTTGTGTTTCAGATGCCTCTAACATCTGGTACGCCAAAGGTGTCTCAAGGACAGCTACTTAAAGCCAGAAATATACTGAAAATCCTTAACCATATTAATTCAGTCTTAGGTCTCCCCAGATGTTTAGGTGGAGAATCACAAAAGACTACTAATCTTCTCGAAAGGAAGATCCAAAACAAGAATTAGGAATTACATAAAGCTTATATTCTTACTACCATTGTCAGATATTAATTTTTCATCAAGAACTGCAAACTAATAGCATCTTTTAAAAAGAAGATACGTACGAACCTGTAAAACTTCAATTGCATTTTGGTAGCAAGACAATTGTCCCACAATATCAAAGGAGACAGATGCCAAACGATGCCACATATCTGACATGTAATCCTCAGTTTCATCACGGAATTTCTGAATTTCCATTATATAATTACGTCCTAGTCTTGCCTTTACCATGACCATATGCTTAAAAATTGGGCTATGAAGGAAAAATTTATTTCGTCAGTATTTATGAATGACTTAATAAGCTGACAAAATGGTTATTTCAAAACTTTTTTATAAAGTATTTTGAAGTCAGAAAGCACTATTTGAGTTGCAGGAATATTTACCTCCATGATGGAATGAAGTTCATTCATATCCAAACTTTAGCATAATAGTACATAAGAAATTTTAATATATTACATTCAGGATTACACACAGGGGAATTCCAACAGTGGGATGAATACAAACTAATTTAATATTCAGAGGAGGCTATTACTGGTAGAGCTTAACAAAGGCTGCCTACAAATGTACCCATTTGTAGAATTTAATGTTAGCACTAAGTAATATATCCACATTGAGGAAAATAAGAGCTGTTTCATCAAACCCAGTAGAAAAAATTGCAATGTAGAACATTTTAGGCAACCGTTGAGCTACAAATGCTTGCTGAAATGCAATTAGTAATCATTTTCACTTCAAGATATTGGAGTGAAAAGGAAATAAAGTGGGAATGTGTTTATAGGAATATGTATATGTGACTATTAAATGCAACCAATGATGTGCTGCTACATGCTGAGGACAACCTCTTTTGGCCCCACTGCTGCCACCCAACACTATTAACTGCGGAAGAGCTGATTTGTGCGCAAGGCATTGAAGCTCCCCTCTACCATCAACCACAAAATTTCAGAACCAGGACTCTTGCCAGTTGGTGCAAGCTGTCTCCAGCCTGCCACTTGCTGCAATTCACCATTAGAAATTGGTGATGCTTGTTAATGATCTTCTGCCACATGTGTCTAATGAACGTCTTTTGTATTTCACCATATACTTGCAATTATTAATAGGACGAGGGGGTCCTTGGTGCTCACTGATGGTGTAACCTAGTTTGGGTAATGAAATGTCTGCTAGATAACAACCAAGTTCAGACAGCAACTTTCATTTCAACTATGAGCTACAAATATTCTCCTTTATTGGTATTAATAGTGTTCTGGAAGCATCCTGGTTTCAAAGAACTGTTCCTTTCATTCAAATATCAGGTGGTTAGGCACTGTCCCCGAGGAATAGGGTTAATTAGAAGACCTTAAGTAAGCAATATTGGAACACCTTTGGTTAGTGGGTTACTAGAACATTTATAGACTGTATGTTTCATAATGAAGAAAAAAACTGGAGGGGAAAAAAAGCAGAACTGGGGAAGGAATAGTAGATTGGTCCCTAAGCCAAGAATTGTGTCTGTCAATTCTCCATCAAAGCCCCTGCCATCTAGAAGATTCTCCCTTCAGATATTAGGATGACCCTGACCTTATTGGCCTTTTGTAAGGTATGAAGACCTGGTTATGTGCCCAGGCCTATAGCCATGAGTGTCTTTAAGGCTCCATTTTGTTGGCTATATTAGCATTGACAGCAATAGCTTTACTTGACAACTATATATATTTATTTATTTTGTTCTAAATACTTTTAATGATATATGCTGCCAGGGGCATTTGTTGAGATAGGTGGCTATAGACATCAAATAAATAAATAAGAAAATCAGATTTCTCTTACTATATAAAAAAAAGAAACAACGGATGGAAACTAATCAAGGAGAGAAGCAACCTGGAATTAAGGAGAAACTTCCTAACAGTGAGGACAATTAACCAGTGGAACAGCTGGCCTTCAGACGTTGTGGGTGCTTCATCACTGGAGGTTTTTAAGAAGCAACTGGACAGCCACTTGTCTGAAATGATATAGGGACTCCTGCTTGAGCAGGGGGCTGGACTAGAAGACCTCCAAGGTCCCTTCCAGCTCTATTCTGATTATTATTATTAAAAGTTGTGGCTTGGAGGTAAAAGACAACCATCTAAGTGGAAAGTTTCTCCCTGGGTTAATTCTGGTTATCATAATTACTTATGATAACCACAGCCATAGCATTGCATATTAACTGAAATATTTTGCAAACTATGCAAATGACTTACAGTCTGTGCTTTGTGCGAGGGAGAATCTGAACCGCTTCATCTAAAACCTTAAGGCCTGTCTCCCAATCATTTTTATCAGCATGTGCTTGGAACAGTAACACATACAAGAATGTCCTTAAAGTCAAATCTTCCTCAGCACCTTTGAAAGACATTAACACAAAATCTCAAATCTTACAAAATCCATTCAGGTAGAGATCATCAGCAAGTATAAAGAGGGAGAGGATATTTAAAAAGATGAAATGGTAAAAAACTTACCCAGAAAAAAATGCCCATCTGATGGGCTGCTGCTTTGAAAATCTACTGTAGGCCACTGGTGCAGCTGTAACATATTATCTGCTTCCTAAAAAAAAAAAAAAAAAAAAAAGAGGTTCTGATTGTAGTAGAAAAGATGTCATTGACATTTGAATTATAATGTTGTGATTGTAACAAAATAAAGTTTTAAAATAAAAATGGGGGGAAAAAACCCAAGACAGTACCACTTTACAATGCCTTGGTAAGGCCACACTTGGAATACTGCATCCAGTTTTGGTCACCATGATGTAAAAAAGATGTTGAGACTCTAGAAAGAGTACAGAGAAGAGCAACAAAGATGATTAGGGGACTGGAGGCTAAAGCATATAAGGAAAGGCTGCTGGAATTGGGTATGTCTAGTTTAACGAAGAGAAGGACAAAGGGGGACATGATAGCAGTGTTTCAGTATCTCAGGGGCTGCCACAAAGTAGAGGGAGTCAAGCTAAGCACCTGAAGGCAGGACAAGAAGCAACGGGTGGAAACTATCCAAAGAGAGAAGCAACCTAGAACTAAGGAGAAACTTCCTGACAGTTAGAACAATTAACCAGTGGAACAATCTGCTTCCAGAAGCTATGAATGCTCCAACACTGGAAGTTTTTAAGAAGAGACTGGACAGCCATTTGTCTGAAATGGTATAGGGTTTCTTGCCTGAGCAGGGGGCTGGACTAGATGACTTCCAAGGTCCCTTCCAACTTTATTAGTAGTAGTAGTAGTAGGATGTATTATCTAATGGCAGAAAACAGCAAACTATCAAGAAGAGTGAGACATAGGAGGTTTGAAATCCTTTCCAAAAATGCCGATTGTGCTGTGAAAGTCAGGTTGTCCAAAGATATTCACTCGTTATTTCATTATGTAAAACAATTATTTATTTATAATCATTTATTATCGACTATATTTATTTATTTACCTTTTTACATTACAGTGTAAGATGTACATTATTATTTTCCTCATCGTGTTTTACCTCTGTTTTGAGCATTGGAAGTCAAATCAGTCACGAATCCGGTAGGAAAGTCCTATTCCTTACCTGCTTACTTTTGGCCTCTGATGCTTTAATGATGCTCTTGAGAATGACTTCAGTAGGTGCTTTGAGATGCTGCCTGTCTGCTGAAGAACCAATGAAAGGTAAGCATGCATTCCAGAAATGCCGGGCTGCTACCATGGCAATGCTAAGATTTCCTGCTTCTCCTGCATATCTAAGAAAGTGGAAAAATAAAATAAAACCCACAGGCCTGCTGTAAGCAGTACATAATGCAATTGCAATGATTCTGATTAACTACCCTCTTGGACATATTTCAACATTAAGACATTGATTTTTTTAAATTAAAGGGCTTATCCATTAATAAAAACAATGGATAGGTTTTATCTCTTGATTTCTCTTTTTATCTATCTATCTATCTATCTATCTATCTATCTATCTATCTATCTATCTATCTATCTATCTATCTATCTATCTATCTATCTATCTATCTATCTATCTATCTATCTATCTATCTATCTATCTATCTATCTATCTATCTATCTATCTATCTATCTATCTATCTATCTATCTATCTATCTATCTATCTATCTATCTATCTGGAAAGAAAAGCCATGTAACAGAGATAATTTTTAGTAATTTAATCATTCCTGAGATTTTATCCTCTAAAATAATTTTCTACTAACTCATTAAAAAACTCCCAAGATTATATATATACAATTATGAATACACCCACATAATATTTGCTGTATAAAATAAAATAACAAAATTCTCCAATGAATTAATTGTAAGGTTAATGTTTTAATGTTTCTGCTGTTCTAACAAGTTAGTAATTATTAATTATCCTGATTATTTAAAAATTAGCAAAGTAAATAAGCATAATGTGCTTATTAAGCCAATTTGTTAGTTTTTCCCCATAACTTGCTGTTTGTTGGATGTTGACAACAATTGTCAAAATTATTTATAGGTTTTACACATCAACACAAACACTAAAGCTTTCATTCTCTTTTTCTTTTTCATTACCATAATAAATGTTTAATAATATTAGGTGACATTGCTCTTCCCAAAGAATCAAGTATTCCATAATTACAATCAGTTCCCATTATTATTTTATATTCTCAGAACAGGAGATTCTACATACTTATAGATTAGTCTGTTATGCTTATTTATGTCATCTGTTCTTAATTTCGTAACTTTCCCTTAGGTGAATATAATATTTTAAAAAAAGTTATGTTAGCTATATTTTCCCACATTCAAAATTTATGGAGTGACGTATCTCTTGCACTCCATTTATCTTACACAGAACTGCAGCTTTATTTCAATAGCACTTCAAAGGTTTCTGAAACTAAATGTTTCCTGTCAATAAACATTATTATGTTTGTGTCTGTTTCCTGAAATAAAAATGTTTGGTGTGATGGTTAAGCTGCTGGATTAGGAACCAGGATATTGTGAGTTCTAGTCTTCCTTTAGACATGAAAGCTGATGGCGTGGTTTTTGGGCGACCACATGGTCTCAGCCCAACCTACCTCACAGGGTTGTTGTGGAAAAAAAGAAGAAATGGGAGCATTATGTACAATTTTGGAAACTTTGCATCGGCTAAGCCAGTTACTTTTTCATATTTTCTATTTAAAATGCCTTTTTAAAAACTATGTCCTCTTGCCAAAGAGCTATTAAAATTTATCCATGTCACATGTCCTAAATACATTTTTAGATTTAGATGTAATTTTTAATATTTTTATATTTCATCTTCATTTGACTAACTTTATATTTTATTAAAAGTGAAAAGTAAAGTTATCAAAAGCCACAGACAAAATTTCATCCAGGATTATCTCAGACTCTTAGCTAGATACTACTGCAGGCAGAAATGTCAGTTTCTTTAAAATTAATACAATGTGGAAATGATTATTACTATCAGTCTAAAAATAAAGCCTAGAGCTAATTCAGAAAGCTATTGATCTCTCTTTAAAAAACAAAACAAAAACTAAATGTTTTTTTAAAACTAAATATCCAGAAACAGACATTAAATGATGCCAAACTACATCTGGCCTTTGGCCTTATTTTATGGCGCTCTTCCTTTAATTTTTTTAAAAATTCAATATGAGATCTTCCCTGCAACTTGCTAATGGTTGAGAGACAGAAAGAGAAAGTAAGAAAAAAAAGAATAAAAGTTTATATTCTAAAATTCTGATTTTATTAGTTTATTTCAGTGCGTTCAATACACAGTTGCTATTTGCCTGGAATTTATACATTTGCTGGTGTTAATATTCAGATTTCATTAAAATAAAAAAAAATGTTCCCAAAAAAGATCATAACATACCTTGCACTTTCAACAAAGGATTTTGATGCTATAACTCGCAAATGTTTTTTGCCAGCCAGGTTTTCCATTATACTCTTTCCTTGAGTACAAGTAGCAATACTCAGCATTTCTTGTCTGGCACTGTAATCATTTCTACATAAAGAAGTCAAAAACAAACTTTTGACTAATAACTCAGTTTTCAAGATCCTGCCAGAACAGAGCAGTGCTTTGCTCTGCAGGAATTGAGAAACAGACAACCTAAGCTTTCCATTCTCCCATTTGGGCAAGCTAAAGGGGGAGAGGTTTTTTTTTACTTATTGGAACTAAAAGCCACTTCTCATTTTATCAGCTAATGTCATCACAGGCAAAGAACAGCAACTAAGATGATTAAAAGCCTGGAGACTAAAATATATGAAGAACAGTTGCAGGATTTGGGTTTGGCTAGTCTAGAGAAAAGAAGGACTAGGGGTGACATGACAGCAGCATTCCAGCATTTGAGGGGCAGCCACAAAGCAGAGGGGGGGTGTCAACTTATTTACCAAAGCACCTGAAGGCAGGACAAGAAACAACAGATGGAAATCAATCAAGGAGAGAAGCAATCTGGAACTAAGGATAAACTTCCTAGCAGTGAGGACAATTAACCAGTGGAACAGCTTGTGGTCAGAAGTTATGGGCGCTTCATCACTGGAGTTTTTAAGAAGCGACTGGACAGTCACTTGTCTGAAATGGTATAGAGTGTCCTGCTTGAGCAGGGGGTTGGATTAGAAGACCTCCAAGGTCCCGTCCAGCTCTATTCTGATTGAATTGTTTTGTCTAATTCTTCGTACAAAGAATCTCAGATCAACTACAGGTAGTCTTCGACTTACAACAGTTCGTTCAGTAATCATTTGTAGTTGCAACGGCATTGAAAAAAGTGACTTATGAACATTTTTCACACTTATGCATCTTAAAAGAAGCATGGAGAAACTGTAGCATCTTTAGAGGACAACTAAAGGATGATAAGGAATCTGAAATTAAATTCCATGAAGAATAGTTAAGGAAGATAAGCACAGTTAGCTTGCAAAAGACTGAGAGGAAATTTTTAAAAAGTGGTCACATGTGGACGTATTCTCTGTTGAAACAAACAAAACAACTGGTAAGAACCAACAGGCTGAAGTTGAAAATATTACATTAAACAATGGAATAGTCTGCCTAGAACAGAGATATCATACACTCCTTCTTGATGAAGATTTTTAGAGTCTGGATGGCCAGTTGCCAGGAATGGTTTACTGGATTCCTGCACTGAACAGAAAGATGTACTTGATGATTTATATAGTCCCTTCTAACTCAGACTTTTAGTCTGAATCTTGCTTTCATTTTAAGATATCGCTAGTGCAGAGTTACACAACTACTGTATGTAGCACAAGGAACTGGCAAAAAACTGCTTTTAACATTACTGTACATCAATATAATGGTATAATAATTGTATCCATTAGAGGTCAGTATTGCTCTATTTAATTTGTTTCTTTTTTTAAAAAGTCTGAAATCAGTTTTCCTCCTGAAGTACTGCTATTTTAATGGAAAGATTCACTATGGATTAAGGTGATAAACAGAATAAAAAGCCCTCTTGAATTAAAAGTGAATTTTAAAAGTTATAAAAATCTGGAGGTGCTTTCCATCTAGAAATTTAATTCAAAGCTCCAAAATATTTCACACAAAATAATATTAAAGAGCAAAATATCAAAATAACACTATGGAGATCAGAGAAAAGAACTTTTGCAGCTGAGGGAGATCCTAACTAATAGTAAGATGCTGGTAATTAGACATAAGATTTCAGAGTTAGTTTCTACATCTAACTCCATCACCAGAGAAAATTAATTCCTCCTTTCTTACCTCTCGTTAGGCAAATTAGGAGAGCCATTTAGCCCTCTAGAACTCTAAAAAGAAGCCTGAATTCACATCACCTAAATATGGTAGGCGAAATGATTGAGCTGAATATCACAATCCTTCCTTCTTTTGGGGAAGAAGGCATTTTAAAAGAGGGAATAAGAACACAAATTTGTTGTGAAAATTGCTCCATTCTCCCCAAATCACATGAAAAATGGTCCCACTCTTTCCAATGGGATCCCCAGTTCAGGAGGTTGGGTTAAAGGACAATGACCACAAACATGGTAGGGAAGGCAAATCAGACTCCATATTTACTCAAGTTTCTTATACTAACTTTGAATTCTGATCGTGATTCCTTGAAACCTAACTGCCTTAATCCAAGTCAATGCTGGTAGTGACACATTATTTAATTATACTTACAAATGAAATTTGTATACACACACACACACACACACACACACACACCTCTCGCAAGAATTATGCAAGGTTTTTTTTTATAATTCAGTATTTAAAAGTAACTTGTCTACTTACATTCCCTTTTTCTTTGGATCTGTGTTAAATGGCACTTTACCTAATTCCAAAATCTTCTCAGAACAAGTTATCACCAGCTCATGGTCATGGAGATTATGTGCAAAATGCATAAGTCTGGTCAGCGTCTGAAGCTGTACAAGCGAGTCTGACCAACTGCATTCCAGAGCCATTTTTACCAACTACAAGTAAGTGGATAAATATAAATATATATGTATTCATGAATTGATAACATTAATATTCAGCACCTCTAGTCTACAATGTTTCAGAATAATAACTTGTACCTTTTTCTAAAGAATGACACAGGAAAAAAATTGATATTGATACAGTAAGTGCTTCTGGCTTGGGAATCTGTGTTGCAGGTCATTAGCAATCTTTTATAGGTATGGGGTATAATTACCATAAACCAAACAAATTTAAGACATGAGCGAAGTAAGTACTTGGAAAATATATCCTTTGAATTGTACTGTATTCCAGTTTTAAAGAGGAGAAAATGTTTTTAGGTTTAAAAAAGGAAAGTTTCGGTATGTTTTTTTTGAAGAGGTTCAAAATATTGATAAAATGTAAAACCACTCTCTTGATCCTTTGAGTCATGGAAACCCAAGGGATTGCTATTAATCCCTTTATGGAAGAGAAAAGAAAGAAGAAAGTGAAAACATCTCTTTTCTACTATCCTATCTGTATGAGAATAGGTCTACAATCAGACCAAGGTTATGACAATACTAACATTCATTAGAACCATGGTCTGATTGTACTATTCACATTAGTCATCTGACTGGAATCTTTTGCTCTTTTCACCCAGATCTATTTTTCTTCCCTACCCTTCATCCTCATTCTTTGTATTCCAAAAAAGCTTTAGTTAACTTGAACCACAGTAAAATAGCAGTCTGAGAAACTGAAGTTTAATTCTTTTTCATATATTTAACATGAATGTTGGTTATTCTATTTGTGGGCACAATAAATACACCGAGGAAGAATGATTGTTTTGGATGTGCCACTGTGTTTTGAGTTTGATATGGCCTTCTAACTAATTTATAAAAAGCTACTACTGCTACTACTGTTATGACAAAAGGACGAGGAGGAGAAAGAGGAGGAAGAAATATATGTACCTGAGACAAATTGGGAAGTAAAAAGTCCATAAGGCTCAGACCATTGCACGAATACATTTCCAGGCCAATAAAAACTTTTGTCATGGGACTTGTCCCATCATCATTACCCTGAATAGAAAGAAACACTAATTCAACAGATAACAAGGCATCATATTAAATAAGTACAAATATACACTTTACATTTTTATAGACATCTCAAACTCAGGCTCAACCTAGCTTCTCTAACATGCTTTGTAGAACAATCTATGACAAACTCAGGCTCAACCTAGCTTCTCTAACATGCTTCGTAGAACAATCTATCATGCAACTCAATTGCAATCTAAAATGATATTACCCAAATGAAGATTAACAAATACATCTCCCCTTTGTGAGAACTCGGCCTCAGATTTTGGAAAAAATAGATTCTACTAGAGCAGGGGTGTCACTCGCGACATCACGTGACATCGCACAATGTATCGGGCCAGTTTTGCCATTGCTGGCAATGGGGTGGGTGTGGCTTCAGTATGATGAAACCAGTCCGCGGGCCGGCAGTTTGACACCCCTGTATTATAGAAATGGGCAATCTTTTTGTGCTTTTCTAAAAATAATTTTTGGCATCTGAGTCACAGAGCACATGGCACTAACATAATAGAAGGACCTATTTTGTTTTTGTTTTTTGTAATTTGGGCGACATGTGAAGATTAAGCAGGGCTTAAGGCATGCTATTTTTTTTACCAAAAATTAAGATAACTGGTGTTATGAGGATCACATTGGGAGAAAGTTGAGATAATCCTGGTGGAATCCTCAAGTTCACTGATATTCATATTTAGCAGGGCATATATATGTATGTATAGCAGTTCGAAAGCATGCATATGTGAGTAGATTAATAGGTACCACTTCAGTGGGAAGGAAACAGCATTCTGTGTGTCTTTGGCATCTGGCCATGCTGGCCACATAACCATGGAAAATGTCTGCAGGCAATGCTGGCTCACTCGGCCAAGAAACGGACATGAGCCCGGCGCCCTAGAGTTGGAAATGACTGGACAGGGAAACATTTACCTTTTTTATACTGACTGCGTGAGAATAGAGCCAAGCTTAAGGTCTTCTATCTATCTATATAAAATGAAATTCCCAGATTGGAGTTCTGTTTTTCAAACTGGTTCTCCCTGGTGTTATGAGGATGAGCAATTTGATATTCGCAAGCAGCATGCAATCCCCCAAATCTCCTTTCTGGTAGCCACCTTGTCAAAAAATACCTGACATAGTTTCCTTCTATTCTGAAGTAAGAAGCACTAAAGCATGGTTTATGTGCTTAAATTAGGCTTAAGGTAATTTATACTACAAAGCACACCTCCCTCCAACAAAAAAGAAAGAAAACTAGATAAATTAGAATGAGAAAGAAAATAAATACTGTCTCTGTCTACTCTGTATCATCATCCACCATGTCTCTCCTGTGACTCTCAGCCATCAAAAAGCTGCCTTTTTATGCTGTGATAGAAATACCTCCTCCTCAGATCCATGCCACCTCCCAATCTGCTGCTGAAGTAATTGTTTGGCTTTTACCCAAGTTGCAATAACTTGTTGACGCATAGCAATTGGAACAGGCTCATCAGGTGCACTTCCATTAGGCAAACGCATAGCAAATTCACAGACCTAAAAGAAATTATTTTATAAATGCTATTTAAAAAAAAACTAATGCAGAGGCATATTAACAAATTTGGGGGAGCATGAGATGGAGAAGGGGATATCTGTATTACTGATAAAAAGCTCTCCTATTAAATAAACTAGCATTGTTGGTTTGCCAATAAGTAATAACATTATTTTATTCATTCATCCATCCATCCATCCATCCAATTTATATGGCAGCCAATGTCAACATGTAACTCCAAGCGGCAAACAGAATTAAAATAAAATAAAATAAAATAATAAAATAAAATAAAATAAAATAAAATAAAATAAAATAAAATAAAATAAAATAAAATAAAATAAAATAAAATAAATAAAATAAAATAATAAAATAAAATAATAAAATAAAATTAAAAAAAATTAAAATAAAATAAAATAAAATAAAATAAAATAAAAATGACAAACATTACAAAAGTTAAATACAAAGCCTCCCAAGAAACATCCACCCAAATAACTTATACATCCAAGAAGTGGGTCCCTGCACACACTGGGGCCTCAGGCCTGGGCACAGAACCAGATCTTTAGGACCTTATGAATGGCCAGCAGGATTGGAGGTCTCTGGAGGGTGAATTCTCCATAAGGTGGGGGCTATGGCAAAAAAGGCATGTCTCCTTGGCCCACCAACAGGCATTCTTTAGCCAGCAGGATCCTAAACAAGCCATTGGCCTTGATTAGAGTGGATTGGTAGAAACAATTGAGAAAAGACATGGGCCCTCAAATAACCTGGTCCTAAGCCATGAAGCTTTAAAGGTGACAACCAGCACCTTGAATTGCATCTGAAAGCACACTGGCAACCAATGCAGCTCATGGATAGTGTTGGTACATGTGCCAAATAACAAATGCCATCTAATGCATGTGTTGCTGCATTCTGCCCAAGTTGAAACTTCTGAATGCTCTTCAACACAGAGGGCATTGCAGTAATTCAGATGAGAGGGCATGAGGGCATGAGTGACGGTGAGCAAGACTTCTTGGTTTAGGAATGTGCGCAGCTAGTACACCATCTGGAGGTATAAAAAAGTCTTCCTAGTCACAGCATCTTGCTCTTTGAGTTCGGGACTCCCAGATTACCTACCGGGTCTATATGAAGTAGTAACACACCTCTGATGGAAGATTCCCAGCACCAGAATGTCCAAACACCCAAAGCCACTCAGTCTTGCTTGGCTTAAGCCAAAGTTCAAATTCTTAGATTTGTAAGAGACATCTTTGTCATTTGGCCCTTTCTTCTGCTTCCAATAAAAATGCTTACACATTCCATGAAAGAAAGAATAGCCATTAACACTGAGGCTACTTCATGAAGTCAACCTTTAATGAACTGGCAGTCAACCATACATCTTCAGTCTGTCCACACAGGTTGAAGAAGATGTTTAATCATGTATAACTTATTCTTATATAGAAAGCCACTATGATTTATATAAATAAAAATGTAAATGTTCGTTTGTTCAAAATCTTAAATCTCCGAAAGTTCTTCACTGATTGCTTTGAAATTTTGACACAACGTTGCATTCAAATATGCGCGTGTTTTTATGTACCTACTATTATATAGATGTCACACCTGTGACAGGTAAAAACATGCTTTTTTTGAAAAACAGCACCATCTGTTGGACATAAAAGCAACACACGCTACGATTGGAACAACAAAAAATATTGTATACCCACAAGCATTGTGAAATTAAACATATTACAAACGTGCGCTTTCTCTTTTCTTTCTTTTCCATTTAACCAGATTGAGCCACAGCAACGCGTGGCTGGGTACAGCTAGTAAAAAATATACCTCTACAGCTGCTTTAATATCATGGATTCCAGCTGGATCCACAGGTGTAATTAGAGCAGTGAATGATTTATCATGTCCTTTTAAAGCAGTCTTTTTACGTTTGGTGGGCCCTTCCTCATTAATTTTCTTTTCATCAGTTTTGGAAACCATTTTGGGAATCCAAGGAAGAATCAGCCCTCTTGCCAGAGCATTACATAAAGTTACTAAAACAGTAGTATTCCTGAAACAAAACAAAACAAAACAAGAGGAAGAAAAATTGTTTAAAGTTAACATTATAAACCAGTGCTTTACTGTGCCAAATTAAGATATGCATTCATTAGTACCAAACATGTAACAGATATGCAAATGGTATTTATTTATTTTGTTTAGGTAGATCCATCCTCAGAATATAAGTCTCTGAATACTGCCTATTTGTACAGCCTTCAATTCCATAATTAGTATTTATATTTCAAGTAATATCATAGTGTTCCTGCCCTGTCATGTACGCTCGACAGACCTAATATATTGCCAATAGGTACAAAAAGAAAAAAAGGAAACTCCATCATGCAAAAACAGTATAGACAATTTTCCAATAAAAATAATATAGCACAGCTAGAAACAATTGATGGTAAAATTGAATGATTCAGAGCACTTCTTCAATAATTAAAAAGAGTAAAACATAGAAAGTGTTTTAACCAAAAAGTGAGGAAAAAACAAAAAGAAAAAAATGGTACAACAGTAATCAGTTAACACCTGTGGAATAGAAGTTGAACAAATTAATAAACTATAGCCCCAAAGAAATGAATGGAACAAACGCTGAGTTCTATTCATTTCCTAGTCAATATTCTCAATTCTTGGGACAAGAGTAAATCCTTCACTGGAAAAGAGGGAGAGCTGGCTATGATAAAGTATCCAGGAACCATCCTTTATTGATATCAAGTAAAATCTATTTGCTGGTGTAAGTCACTTAGACATTTCGATGTAGAGACATGTATAGTAATTCAACTTTTTAACAGCAATTAAACAGCAGTAGCATTTGGGTTGAAATACAAAGTATTTTCCTCCTTTTGAGTAATTAATATGGAAACAATTTGGAGATAGAAAAAAAACAGGAAAACTCATCTTTCTTTTCCAGACTTAAGAGTCTGCAAATAGAAAGACATTAGACTTATCCAATATTTTAAAATACTATTTATAAATAAAATAGTGAATTAAAAATGCTTGGGCGTCATCTTAACTTTGCTCTTACTCTGTAGGTCAGGGGTAGGCAACCTTCGCTCTTTTATGACTTGTGGACTTCAACTCCCAGAATTCCTGAGTCAGCATGGCTGGTTCAGGAATTCTGGGTATTGAAGTCCACAAGTCATAAAAACAGGCGTTTTTTTGTCATAGAATGCCCAGAACGGAGTTCCGGCACCTTTTTTGGATGGAACCTTGTAGGGTAGGCAAGGCGGGTTGTATGACGTATGTGAGTTCCGGCACTTTTTTTTTTTTTTTACAAAAAAAGCACTGCATAAAAGAGCCAAAGTTGCCTACCCCTGCTGAAGGTGAATCTGCTCATATAAATAGCAAATTAGTGAGTGATTTATGCCCAAACTCTCAGTTTGCTTTAACTGGGATATAGCATTATTTTAATGATATGCTATGTAAAATAAAGAAGATGGTTCTTCTCAGTCATCTTGAGCCAAGAGCTCTATTCCAGCTTTACTCTTATGCATTTAACTGAAATTCTGGACAGGGAAGAAGGGTCAATGGTTTTCTGCCAGATTATATAGAGCTATACTGAGCCCTGATGCTTGTTATCTCAGTTGAAAGAAGTAAACAATCTTAAATTAATGATGAAACAAATCTGGATGTTGGCATATCTTGGAAAGTACATGAACTCAAGCTCTTTAATTTGTTAAATATATGGAAGCAAGGAAAAGAATTATTAGCATTTCTCGTGAACTCAGAATTAAACCTTAAGTAAAAGAACAATTTCACAATAAATAATTACAAATCGGCAAATTAAACTAAAACCACATCAGTAGGTTAGCAGAAACCACTTGCCAAATAATTCACGTCTGGAGGGGGTGTAGCAGAAACTTTTGTTAATTTACACAGAAGTATATATTCAGGATATTGGCTCACTGTGAACCAATGTTAGACTTGAGATACTCAGTGCTCACAGCTAAATAGCAAAAATGTCTCATAGACAACTAATAGTTTTTGAAATTCAGCATCAGAAACCACTTTTTACAACTTTTAAGATAAACTACCTGCTTGAAATATCCTGGAGATAAAAATAACGATTTACTCAGATCTGCCTTTGCATGAACTAAATTTAAGAAAATATTTTGATTTGGAATGTATTTTGGCAAGAAATAGGATTGTATCCAATAATCTTCTATCTTTCTTTTGGGGATGAAAATTTACAAGTTCGCCTTTCATGGTTCTCAAAGACTCTGTGCTTATCAGATAAATAACAAACTTCCTATTTTTCTTTTTCTTTTAACAGATGTTGTTGGTAGTATAGAACTTATTTTTTGATTTTATTTCCAAGTGTTGGGAGAAGTAACTTAAACCAAACTGGAAGTTATAAGTAGAGATTTTCCCTCCTTCCTTCCTTCCTTCCTTCCTTCCTTCCTTCCTTCCTTCCTTCCTTCCTTCCTTCCTTCCTTCCTTCCTTTTTTCTTACTTGGGTTTAATGTTGGTACACTAACAGTACCAGGATATTGGTAGTTGGATATTTTCTTTTTTATAGCTTTTTAATTATTTTTAATTTAGATCCATGTTCATTATTTAAATATTTTCTATTTATGTATCTGCTACTTATTAAGCCTAGTATAGCATAAGATGTACAGTAAAAAGTGAAAAAATATTTTGTCTACATGGAGGCATGGCACTTACAGTAATCAGCTGGAATGTGAACAGATTGAGATTGAAAAGGAGGGACAAGATGAAAAAATTATAACTAGATATTATGTTGCAAGAAACACATATTCCCTTGGCTTCTAAGGAGGCCTAAATGTCTACAAATATTGCTTGCAAATTAGCAGGTGCCTAAAAAGGGGAAATCAGAAATCCAATAGTCTTTTCACTTTTGCTCATTTATCTGTTTTTTTTCCTTTCACACACATACACACACGAAGAAACACACAGACACACACACAGGATTTCAAAATTGTTGAATACTTCAATATTAAGTAATAGTTTAAGATCAAAACTTTATTATGCAACAAATACATTTTTGTGCTCAACTTCTAAACTCAACTCCTAAATTGTAACTAATAAGAATAGAATATTCTTCTTTCTCTCCTCTCTTCTCAATACTCAATACTCTTAGCTGTTTAAACAACTGAATGTTAATAACCTTTAATTTTAAAGAAAAAGAACTAAAATTATTTATGTAAATATATGTATTAAAAGTATTTGTATCACAATCAGACAAAATAATATATAGTATGAGAGATCTGAGCAGTTAAGGATCTACACTGTGCAGAAACACCCAGTGTATCAGCCAGCAATAATAACATGGCATTATTTCAAAATGGAGAACTATAAAGGCTTGCCTTAGTAAAAAAAGATTGACTTGTTAATGTCATTGTTATGTATCTAAAAACAATAATGTTCTTACATCAAAAGGCCGTTAAAAGTTATACTTTCTTATTAAGAACCTTAAAAATATCAAACATTCAACTAAACTCTTGTAGAACTTACCCAAAGTTCCCAATATTCTTAACAGCATTGAAAAGAATTTGAAGGGGGTCAACAAGTTCTCTTTGCCTTTTTGAAATAATCAGATGCTTATTGTGATTTAACACATACGCTACTGTATTATGTACAATCCAGGCTTCATTTAACTCCTCTCCAATTTTGACGGCTCGTAGAAAGTTTTCCATAGCATATTGAGATAAGTGGTTTATCCAGTTGCTTAACAAGTAGAAATTTGAATGATTAAATTACCAAAAAGAAGAGGAAAAGAAACAGAAAACAATCCATCGTATACAGTATGGTCAGGAAAATATCTGAAACATAATTATTTTTTCAATCTATGAATTTTTTTTCGCATTTTTAAAATTATTAGGGAAATCTATGAAATGTAACTATTTTCAAATAATGTACTATCATAAAGTTCTTCTATAGACTAGCCTTAGGATTTCTGTTTCCTCTGATGTCTTTTGGAGATCTTAAACATGCAACATTATATTCTCCTATATTTACACACATAAATTTGCATACATGCATATATAATCACCCCATTTTCACATATTATTAATAGTTTATCTCATTAAAAAACATTTCCCATTGACACCTGGCTTTTCTATCCTGCATATAAAGAAGTCACTCAGTAAGATCTCCAAAAGACATCAGAGGAAACAGAAATCCTAAGGTTACATTTCAATCTATACAATCAGTGTTTTAAATGTTTTTATATTACATGTAAACTGCAAAAGTCTTTGATAGTGCCATAGAATTGTGAAAATAAATTCACTGCTTACTGTTCTAAGGTTCTTTTATAATGTAATATTACAAGTTTACTTAGAAAGTAATCTCATAATAGATCATGAGACTTCAACCTCTAGGCTCCAGGAGAAAGGAGACTAAGGGGAGATTGGACAGCCATTTGTCTGGGATGGTGTGGGGTTTCCTGCTTCTGCGGAGGGTTGGACTGGAGGATCTCCAAAGTCCCTTCCAACTCTGTTATTCTTTTATTCCAGTTAGGGGCGGCAAATATCTTGGTAACCACTAGATGTCAGCAAAGAGATACAGAAAATGCTCACTCTTTGGATCTTGTGAGCCCACATATTTAACTCACAAATGCTACAATCACAATTGATCCAAAATTTTGTGTCCCATGTACTTAATGGCTTTTGGCACTGGGAACATGTAACACAAATTTTGCAGGCCCTGCAATGGTTGTACCCCAACATTTAAGGGTACAACAAAGTGCTGGTATTGTCCTATGGACTCAATTGGTTAAAGAATTAGGCTAGAAACCCAGTGACTGTACGTTTTAGTCCTGTCTCGGGCACAAAACTAGTTGAGTGACCTTGGACCAGTTTGTTTTCCTCAGCCCTAGGAACGAGGCAATGGGAAATCATTTCTGAAAAACGCTCCCAAGAAAATTGCAGGGACTTTTCCAGGCAGTCTTCAAGGACTGGGCACAATTGAATGGAAAAAAAAACCTATAAAGCTCTAAGCAAACTGGTATTTTTTTAAAAAAAACTAAAGCAAGTAATAGTACTTCAAAACAACCTATATGTATTCCACTCTGATTCTTTTCCAATTCGTGTTGAATGTTGAGAATATCCTGAAGTGTGTATATTTGCTTCTACAGGGAGGACAGGATAATTATTGAGCTGGACGCCTTCTGTTCTTAATAACTGAATGGTAGCCTAAATACAGACACCAGGAGAAGAAAACAACTATCAATGCACTAATATAAAAAGATCAAAACTGATAAAGTTCTTAGTGATAGACATAGACTACTCTTATTCTTATGTTTTCTTCCTATGCACAGATGCCACAGCAAAGCTAAAGCTGGATGCTTACTTCTCAATTACATTGCCTGTAGGGGAAAAAAAAATCTTTCCATGATTAATTTTAAATTAGTTCCAAGAAATAATCATTCTAATTCTGGAGGTTTTGGGTTATTTTATTTCACTTAGAGAATATTTCAGGATCTAAAACCCTCACTTAATCCTAAACGCTTGTGTTTCAGCAAATCAGTTCATATTCACACATCACAGGGAACCAAATTGGTTGAAAAACAAATAAATGAAAGATTTTTTTAAAAAAAACTTTTATATTTGAATTAAACCTATATTATGACAAAATAAGAATTTTAGTCTCTGTTTCTTAATATTAAATGCAATAGAAGCTTAATTTCAGCTGTATCCTCCGATACATTATGTATGAATAGTTCAGATGCTAAGAAAAAAACCCTCAGTTATAAAAGCTCTTGTGTAGACTGAATAGTAATGGAACTTGCATTCCACAGATATTGGTATGTAACTCCAGTTTGGTCTAGTACCAGTTTAGTCTAGTGGTGAAGGCACAGGACTAGAAGGCAAGAGACCATGAGTTCAAGTCTCACTATGGCCATGAAAGCCAGTTGGGTGACCTTGGGCCAGTCATACTTTCTTAGCCCAACTCACCTCACAGGATTGTTGTGGAGAAAATAACAGGAAGAAAGTATGTGGGACATGTTGGATGCCTTACGTTATTTGTAAAAATAAGGGCAGAATAAAAATAAATGAATAAATAAGCTCCCTGCATTGTCTGTTGTTGGTCACACTGAATGGGACTTCTAAGAGTTGAAGTGTAGCAAAATATGAGTCCATACTCCTGTTTTTTACACTGGAAAAGATATTTCCTTGTACGCAGAACATGTAACATTTTATGAGATTAACCTTTCAATTCAGATAGAATTGAACCAATTCAATTCAAGGCCGGCAATCATGTCAAACCGAAACCCTGCCCACCCCATTGCCGGCAATGGGAGGAAAGTCCCGATACGTCACGCGACATCATATGATGTCGCAAGTTTTTACATGCCTGTCCTATGCTAAGGCCCAAGACAGTTTGTTTGAAAAGCATGATCCCCATGAAACAGTAGTTAATGAGAAATAAGAAACCCAACTGGTGTAATTTCTTTAATACAAAACTACACGCATAGAGGAGACGAACATTATAAGCATAATTTTTTTACTGTTGGCCAGAGTTTCTTAGGGACCCTTTCTCAATAAAAAGCAGCCATATGTAAACAAGCTAGAATAATGAAGATCAGCATCCTATACCAAATGCATTAAAAGGACTTTAAAATTATCTCATAGTTGTATAATTTACTAACCTCTGCATTGATACATCTTACTTCTGCTAAGGTTCTAAGCAGATCTCTTTCTAAAGAAAATACTTTGATCGGCACCGGTGACTCTCTTAATATATTTCCTTCGGAATCATCAGATGTAGTTGCACTACCTTTTTTCTTCACCACTAAAAGACACATAAAATGCATTAGTTTAGCAACATTTTGTGTGAACATTTAGTGAAACTCTTACAATTTAGAAATTCTTTGTGAAAGATTGGCTAACTTAGAATTTGACAGAAACACAGTTCTGTTGGTTGGGGGGGTAGGCTATACAGGCGGTCCTCAACTTACCACAGTTCATTTAGTGACTGTTTGAAGTTACAACGGGACTGAAGAAAGGGACTTATGATCATTTTTCACACTTATGACTGTTGCAGCATTGCCCTGTCCATGTGATCAGAATTCAGACGCTTGGCAACTGACTCATATTTACGATGGTTGCCGTGTCCCAGAGTCATGATCCTCTTTTGTGACCTTCTGACAAGCAAAGTCAATGGGGGAGCCATATTCACTTTACAATTCACTTCAGAAATGTCTCACTTAGCAACAGAAATTTTGGGCTCAATTGTGATCCTAAGTCGAGGACTACTTGTATTGCAACATTTCCTTCAGATCGCATCTTCCATGAAAACATGCTAAGAGGGCAAAAGCAAATCCAACAAGAATTAGATGAGCGCAGAGAGTTTTCTATACTATATCTCTTTGCTGCAATCTAATATTCATGTGGAATTTTGTTGCCCAGATCATATTAGCAATGCTGTTCTAAGGCAATCTAAGTTGCTGGCATCCAAATGAAACTATTAATTGTCAACATCACATTGACTAAAAAAAAGAAGCACTTTTAGCAGTGGTACTAAAAAATTTCATCTTCCCTTGTGGCAAGAATAAACCAATGACTGCAAATAATAGCATTAAATCAACATTTTCAAGTGATGATTTTAAAAAATAGTCAGGGCAAGGTCATGCCTATAAATCTAGTAAATGAATATCCTCTTTTTCTATTTTACTCCTGCTTAGATCTTCATGACCTTAACATAAAGGTCTGCTAGCACAATTAGGTAAATACACCTAAACCTCTTCCTAATTGTGAGGAAATCTGATAAAGTCTTTAGAAGCATCCACAAATTTGAAACAGTGAGGACAACACTAGGATGTATGTATTCTAAACATACTTTTATTGCTTTAATTGCAAACTACAGGCACTCCTTGACTTACGACCACAATTGAGCCTAACACTTCTGTTGTTAAGTGAGACATTTGTTAAGGGAGTTTTGCTCCATTTTACAACCTTCCTTGGCACAGTTGTTAAGTGAATCACTGGAGTTGTTAAGTTCGTAACACGGCTGTTAAGTGAATCAGGCTTCCCCATTGACTTTGATTCTCAGGAGGTCTCAAAAGGGGATCACGTGACCCTGGGACATGGCAACTGTCATATGAGTCAGTTGTGAAGCGTCTGAATTTTGATCATGTGACCATGGAGATTCTGCAAGTCCCGTGAAAAATGGACCTAAATCACTTTTTTCAATCAAGTTGTAATTTTGAATGGTCACTAAATGAACTGCTGTAAGTCAAGGACTACCTATATCTTCCCAGAGGTTTAGCACCTTGATGTGATAGGAGGGATCAGTATCTCCAATGACGCTGAGTTTGAGGCTAATAGAAGATGAGCTCTCAATTGGGCCATCAGTCCTGATAAGACTGAAAGAGGAGAGGGGGTGTGTGAAGCTAAAAGTAATTCACAACAAGAGGGAAGGTAAGTGTGGCTCCAAAGACATGAGGGAAATTAGCTCGCTTAGGAAAGGGAACCCTAAAATACACAAGATGAAGTCACTGGCAAATCAACTCTGTATTGGTGCCAGAAAAACATAAAAACCTGGCTGAAATATTTAGATAAATTTAGATGCCAGTTGATGCGACAGGAACTTTCTGTGTGAATGGAATAATGTCCATCCCCACAAACCGGAACGTGTATGTCATCTGATGGTAATGGAAATTAAGACAACCACTAATTGTTTGTCTATTTCAGATGTAATTGGTACTAGTTCAGGAATTACATTTGAATCTCCAACCATATCTGGTGCAGTTTTCTTCTGCTACACACGTGTTGCTAAATTTGCTCTAAGGAGAGGCATCACTTTTCAGCATGAGAAAATTGCTGCTTGTTTCAATTGTTTGTCTTTAACAATAAGGTTTGAAAAATCTGTAGGAATGCTTAACCATGGGAAGGAAGCCAATTCTCACAGGTGTCAGGCTTTCTATATCTTTCAAACATCTGCAAAGTAAAATGAGGCTTCCAGTACAAGCCCCCTCCCCCCTCAACTCTCAGTTGAGGATATTATTAGCAAGCAGAAATTCACATATTTTGGACATGTGATATAAATAGATGATGACTAAAAAAACTGAATAAAGTAGAAGGGAAGATGATTGTTAAGGTAAATGGACAAGCTTGGGATATTAGCTGTATCTCCTTGGGGTATCTGTAAATTGTTTGGAATATTGGAGATATTCATTTATATGGCAACTAATAAAATAATCTGCAGATCTTAATGGTCCAAGCAATTGAGTATTTGAATGCACTTCCTATGAGTGAATAGTTTCTGCTCTTGCATCTATAAAGAAAAAGAGATTCTGTTATTTGCCTCGATTATGAAATAATGCTGCACACAAATACCAAGACTTACATTTTTTACGTTTTGAAACCTTTACCACTTGATTATCATCATACAAAAAGCAGAACCTACATGCAGCCCGACAAACATCCCATACGCTTTGCTTCCGTGCTGTTTTTGCTATTTCTGACCATAGGCGGATTCTGTAGCAATGATTTAAAATAAAAATTCATTTTCTTTTAAGAACACAATAAATATAAACATAGAACTCCTAGAAATAATGTGCTGAATTTTTTTTTCAATCTGTTCACCATTAGGGGCCAAAGGAGGTATCCAGGTAATAAAGAGGACAAATATACTTCTGTAAGTGTCTGTTCTGCCTTCATATTTTGCATTTGTATATGTATGTGTGTCTGTGTGTATAGGAAAATTTATCACTCTCTTATAGACTTCCCTCACATGAAGAAAGGAAGGAAACTTAGAATTGTATAGTCAGACACTGATCTGAGCCACTGAGCAACTGCATCTGCCATAGGGAGGCACTGCAGGAATATTTCCTCTGCATTCCCAGTTTGTACTACCCCACTCCCTCCCCTCCCCACGTACGGCAAGAGGGGTCTATGACAACTCACCCCGGCCAACTTGTCACAGCCAACTCATTGCGGGACAACTCACCACAGCCAACCTGCCGTGGGACAACTCTTTGCAGGACAAGAGTTACAGTAATATCAAAGAAATAGTGGAACAGAATCATTAAAGAAAGGATGCAAAAGGAGAGACAGAATGAAATGTGAATGGCAAAAATTAAAATATTTTTTTCTTTATTTTAAGTAATTAAATAGAATTGTTAACTTATCCTGCAGCAGGTTTTCCCACGGCAAGTTGCCTGCAGCGAGTTGGCCGTGTCAAGTTGTCCCATTCTGTGGTAAGAGTTCTACAGGTGTTTATTCAAGCCCACCAAACAGGTCCTCAGAAAGCACCCCGATGCACAGGTCAGGATTCCAAGCTCAATACAGCCAAGTGTCACTGGGCAACCGAGTCCAATGGGCACACATGAAGTCCAGGAAAGCAGTCCAGGAGTCAAACAGACCAGGATTCAAGACACAAGTACACAAGGCACAAAACATTGTTCCGGCAACACTCAAGTCCTCGGGGGGTGGGGGTGGTTAAGTAGGCAATGCTAGTGCAGACCTTCATGAGAGGCGAGGTTGCCTCCTCATGAATAGTCTAGCTGACCAGCATTGTGCCTGCCTCCTCTCTGCTGTATGTGTCCTTGGATAAGGAGGAGGTCTGGACTCCTCCTCCTCATTTTACTAATGGACAGCAGCTGCTCCTGGTCCTTGCCTGGATCGTCCTGGCCAACTTGCTGCAGCTGTGGCTTACCTCCCTCAGCCTTAGCCTGTCCCTCGTCTGATTGACCCAGCTGAGGCTGCTCCATCAGGCTAGCATCCTCTGAGCCCCGATTTTGACCAGTACTCGGCTCCATGCTTTCCTCTAAAGACTGAAACTTACCCTCCTCCTCTGAACTTGCATCTGGAGAGGAGTAGGGGTGGATCCATGACATAGCTGAATTGAGTCCATTGATCTTTCTTTTGTTGGATTCTCCCCATACAACAGATTTGATCCCATTTGTGTTCCCTTTCCAATACCTCGGCTCAATATTCTGGGTCCCTTTATACAATTTCTTTGCAATATTACATTAGATTGAAAAAATATCAAAAAACAGGAACATACTTATTAACACTCTACTGATATTTAAACTGAGGGAAATTGTGGCCACCAGGGTGTAGTTTTATCAAGAAAAAATAGTTTTTAAGAAACAAAATAGCTTATTTTTAAATATTTGTCTACAACCGTAATTACCTTTCTTTTTCATTTTCGTGTCCTAGTCTCTTCAAATGTCCATCTGCTTTCTCTACATTTCTAGCATGGTGCTCTGCTTTTGCACAGAGATGGCTAATTTGATCTTTATATTTACTTGGGGGAACTAAATAGGAAGGAAGAAAATTTAATATAGTTTGGATTAGTTTCATGGTATTGCTACAATTATTTCACAATAGTTAGTTGAGGTATTGGACAATGATCGGTAAATAAAAGTTCTATAGAAACGATAGTATAGTACAGGTAGTCCTTAAAAATTGACTTATGACAATTTTTCACACTTAAAGCTGTTACACCTTCTCCATGGTCATGTAATCAAAATTCAGATGCTTGGCAACTGATTCATATTTATGATAGTTGCAATGTCCTGGGGTCATGTGATCATCTTTTGCGACCTTCTGACAAACAAAGTCAATGGGAAAGCTAGTTTCACTTTACAAGTGTGTTACTAATTTAAGAACTGCAGTGATTCACTTAATAACTATGGCAAGAAAGGTTGTAAAATGGGGCAAAACTCACTTAACAACTGTCTCACTTAGCAACAATAATTTTGGGCTCAATTGTGGTTGTAAGTCGAGGACTAACTATGGCTGCGATGTGCCAGGTGATGTCCTGCTGCAAGCAGTCATCAGCAACCAGAAGAAGTGGGCCAGCGGCCACGCAGGTTCCTGCTGGACGGGGCTGCTGCTGCTGGTGCTGCCGCCGTGAGGCAAGGCAGGTGTTGGGGTATGGGAGGCCTGGCTGTGGGGGCTCTGAGGTAAGCAAATGCAGGGCGCATGGGGCAGCTCCATCCTCCCACCCCCACGCTAGCTTGATTTTTAAGTGTGTGCCTCGCCCCACCTCATACAACCAGAAGGAGTGGGCGGGGTCTTAACTAGGGCTTATTTTTGGGGTAGGGCTTATATTAGACATGCATGTAAAAATCAAGCTAGGGCCTATTTTCAGAATAGGTCTTATTTTCAGAGAAACACGGTATGTGCTTCATCTTTCCTTAAACAATTTGCAGAAGGAAACTAAGGTGACAGGAACTGATTTTAATCATTTCCCTAGTGTCATCTGCTATATTCTCTGAGAATAAGTCTTAAACTTTCTTGACTTTTAGAAAGCACTTAAAACCTGGCTGCGTGCCCCGGGACGAGAACTGAGAAGTTAGTAAGGCCCAGGTGGTTTGTTGTAAGAAAAATGCCATTTATTTTTTGTTTAGATTAGGGTTTGAGTTTTTACAGTTATTTATATTGCTTTAATTCTTCAATTTTGTACACTGCCCAGGGTCGCTTTTGCAAGAGTGTCAGCCATATAAATAAAATCAAATAAGTAAATAATAAACAATTCAAAGGACAAGATGTTTTTGTAACTACAAAACATTGAAAAGTTGACATACGGGCACACACACACAAAACATTGATGTATTTCAGAAGTCAAGCAATCCTCTGTAAAATGGTACAAATATTTAAAGTAGCATCTTTTCAAGTCTTCCCAATCTACATTTTTACCAGCTTTCTTTAATTAAAGCTCATTAAAAGCTGTGGATTTCTTATGGCTTCAGGGAACAAAGTTTTTCTGCAGCATTGAACTACCATAAACAATTTAAGTGGAATATTTTGAAAATACTTTTTGCCCATAAGGATCTTAAATGAAGTCTCAAATTAAGTTCATGAGTGTGAAGGAAAAAAAAACCTCATGCAAATGTGATGTATTACCTTTGATGTTTGCTTTAAAACTGATCTGTTCTGTGGTAAAAATAGCTCCACCCGAAGTGAAGACCAGAGGCAGGAAAATGGCTCCTGTTCTCATAATTATCATGTTGTGCAGTGCAACTTTAGATGTGAGAAGCTGTCACTGATTATTGAGGGAAGAGGAGGTCACTATTAATGGAGCTTTCTCAAAAATTAATTATCTGACATGGAAGTTATTTAATTTTTCCAATTGCAATAAGGAATCATTGAAGCCAAACTGGTTAGTCAAAGGGGGATGAAATTTTATTTATTTATTTATTTATTTAATTTAATTTATATGCCGCCCTTCTCCCTGCGGGACTCAGGGCGGCGCACAACATATTTAAAACCAAAGCATATATACAATCCCCCCCTATAAAACCGAATTAAACCAAATTTTAAAGTTGTGTCTTCCAAATTCCTAAAAATGAGCCCAGTATAAAATCCTCCCTAGGTCAGGTC